ATTACAAGCAAAGGACTCAAGATCAAAGTTAGCGGATTTTGGATTCGTTCAATCGTTAAAAAAATTCAATAAATCAGACAAAGGAATATATGGAGTACTATCATATATTTCTCCGGAGGTTTTGAATGGACAGGAGTATACTCAAGCGGCAGATGTTTATAGTTTTGGAATGATCATGATTGAAATAGCAACAGGAAGACCGCCATTTAATGATCATCCACATAATATCGAACTTGCACTTAAAATATGTGAAGGTTTACGTCCAGAATGTGGTGAGGGAGTACCAGAATGTTATGTACAACTGGTTAATAGATGTTTAGATTTTAACGCAGAGAAACGTCCAACAATTGATGAAATATGGAATGTTATTTTAACCTGGGATAAAAGTTGTAATTGGAAAACTGCGTACTTAGATGAAGAGAGGTTAAAAATTCGTAAGGAATTTGAAGAAGCTGATAAACTAATCCCTAAAATTGCCGTAATTGCTTATCCTGATTCACATCCAGAAGCTGTATGGACGAGTCGTCTTTTGTATTTTCCTGATCTTGCAGACAAATTATCGAAATTAACACTTTAGGTAATTCTTAATTCTCCGGGTAACGTTTGTGATTTTTACATTTGATTAATCTTTTATTTATAATTTATACTTTATCACTACTTTCAGACGGAAATGAAGAATATTAGAAATATTAGTATAAAGTTTAAATTATCTTATCAGCACTTGAAAATTTAGGCTAGTTATGTGATTTATATTAGATTTCTTATATATATTTATCGTTCATAAGTCTGATATTATTTTTTTCGTAATGTGTTTAACGAACTAATTCTAATAATTGAATAAACCAATTATCAAAATGAAAATGAAGTTTTGCATAGCGTAAAATAGACAAGCCATCGAAAAATACAAATTTTTTAGATGCATTTTTTTTAGCATTTTTTAGGGTCAGCTTTTAGGGGTATAATTTATAATAAATAAATATAAGTGGGTTTTAGGGTGTTAAATAAATTATTGCATACGTTGTATGCCGAAGCTAAAATTATACATTTAAAAAAAAACAATCACAATAACAATAAAATTATACCGGAATCTAACACGAAGGCAAGCAGCCCCCATCATCTCTACGAACATTTTCGGGTCAGAGACGGGGGCAATGGTTTAATAAACAACCAAATGAGAATCAAGTAATAGTAGATACGATGTAAGATTTCATTGCATTTTTGACATGTTTTTTTTTTTTTGAATTTAATAACATTAGCAGAAAAACGTTGGATGTTATTTATACCTTCTACAATTCCCGGGGTTTATTTTTAGTTCTTTCTTAATCACGTCATTCAATATAATTTGCAAAGTAGTGAATCATTTACATTTCAATTGCATATTTATTTAAATTAAAATAAGGAAAGAAACAAGTACACGGTCTTTAACATTCGTGAAGATGCAATATTCTCTTTAAGAAACTGAATACTGACACATGAAATCCCGAAATTTAATTGTAAATTGTAAACTTAGGTTTTTGAAATTCTCCAGAATTAGTACGTAAAAGTAAACGAGATGTGCAATATTGATGAGTACATATTCAAGTATATAGTACAAATTGGGACAGATACGCAGTCTTATATCATAGACAGAAGTTTGTCTGATTGGCTAGTTTTTAGATCGATTTGTAAATCTACACGTGATTATTACCCAATCAAATTGCCCAATTTTTATTCGTTATTTTACAATATTGCAGTACTAAAAACGAAAACTTCAAGAAAAAAGTTTATACGAATCGGTAAGAACACTGATTATATACATATATAAGATAGATGAATATATGTAGAAAGGAGTAAAAGCGGTGTTCAACTACTAAAACA